ATGTCATATCATGTCATATCCGCAGTGCTCAAAATTATCACCCCAGAATGTGATGTGCAAATACCAAGGTGGCAGCAGTTTTCCCTGGTGCCTGCCAGTTCCTCCTTCTCGCCCTTGGGTGACGATGTTGGGGTCCCAATGGTTCAGTGGGCCTGGTTACACAAGGACTTGAAGGAGGGAAAGGAATATGATTAGGAAGGGGAATCTTCCCGCACATGGCTTATCGTTAATGCTTGATTATTTCAGATTTTCGGATAAACATGGATACTGTAACCTATTTCATAATGATAGTTTCTGATGAGGCATTGCCCGCATTTTTACGTGTTTGACCAACTGTTACTGGCGAAATCAGCTCATAGCTTCTGCCATGAAATGAAATCCGAATCAAATGCAATCGTTCATTGGTAAATGTCAGTATCACATTGTCACACCATTTCAAAACGCAGCCAAAAAAATAGACAAGTAAAATCATACTAAAAGGTTGATGAACTATGAATAGTAATTACTACTGTACCGCCAGAGATCCTCTCAGGCTGGAGGATGCTTAGCGCTGGGTGCCAACCACGTGGCCTATATGCTGTGGGGCAGCGCAGGAAGTGGCTCCAGTTGTTACATGGGCAGAACATGGGAGAATATATATATAGATACATATCAATGGATTGGTTTAAGGGACATTGCAGGAAAACCCCCATATTTAACGGCAAAATCTATGGTTTCCTGTAGATTTTCCCTTAAACCAATCCATTGATAATAACTATGACTCATGACACAAATGCATGGGATATTACAATAAAGGAGATCTTTATGAGATGTCTTGTTTCTTTATTTGGCAGGTGCACACCAACATTAATATATACATATGCATGTACATGTTTATGCAGATTAACATGATATTGACGATAAACCAACAATTCCACCAAGCTGGCCAACCAAGGTGAGACTAGAACCTAGAACTCACCAGGATGGGCATCGAATTGAGGAAAACGTGGACATAAATATACGACCGAATTGAATATGTAAGTCAGTTGGATTTCTCTTGTCCGGGGTTGCAAGTTTAAATGAAGCTGAAGGCATAGAGATAATGTATGGATGATTGCCCTTTCTGGCAGTTTGCCCTTTCTTTGCCGACTCACCCCTTCTCTTCCTTCCTTCCTTCTCTTCCTTCCTTCCTTCCTTCCTTCCTTCCTTTCTTCCTCCCTTCTGCTTCCCACCCATCCATTTCTTGTGTGCTGCCTGAACCCTTTCTTTGCCGACTCAGCCCGTGAGCAGGATTTTTGATATACATCCATCATCATCATCCATCCCGTTTTATCCCGTTTTGGGGTGCCCACTTGGTGCCCACACACTCTTGGCCGCTTGAAACCAGGTGTTATCTGCGGAGCGCCTTGCTGCTGAAGACATCAGGCGCAGAAAGCGACGTTTGGAGATTCGAGGAGATTCGATGGTGCATGATGGTTAACTTGACGCTGTTATTGATGTTTAAAACTGTTCAAACATCCTTGGTCGAAGATAAACACACACACAATCACACACACAATCACACACACACACATATATATATATATTTACACACACACACATATATATACACAACATATGTATATATATATAAACATATAATATACTATATACACAATATATGTATATGTATATGTATGAATATATTGGAGGATGATATTGATGATATCAACTTACACCAACCAACTGCCATTTGGAGGGGATTTTTCCCTGGGTGGTTCACCGCTGGAACCATTTCCCGGCCAGGGAAGGCTTCGCCCAATGCCAAGCGATGGCTCAGCTCGAAACCTACTGTAATAGGGACTTGTGGGATTATATGAATGAGTAGGATTTATTGATGAATGATGATTTTTTTCTATGGTATCCCAGCAGCGGCAATGATGATGATGATGATGAGGATGATGATGATCATAGAGGCCGACCTCACCGAGCATTTTCTTGCAATCCCTAGGTCCCTAGGTCCTGGGTTCAGAAAAGGGCACGCTCCAATCTGGTATCGTTGATGGATTTTCCTTGAGGATAGCTGGATAGCTAGATATTTCCTCAGTGGGACCCCCACTTGCGGATGAATCTCTCAGCTGATCAGCATCTATAAGAGACGTTATTATACTACAACCCCCAGTGGCCAAATTCCATCACCACACTTTGCTGCTGAAAACCATCCCCACGCTTCACTGCCCAGGCCCAGACTTTGCGGGTAGCTTGCGGTCTCAGTTATTGGTTTCTGAGCTGCAACGAGTGACAGTGACATGAGGATTTCTTGGTCGTTTTAGGATGGGATGGGATCGGACAAATCATGAATCCTTGGATGGTTTGTTGACACAAATTTGCAGGAACAATTGTTTGTTCCCATGCAGAAAAAGGATGCTTTTGCAAGGGTCCAGGCAGTGGTGATGGTGCTCCAAAGTTACAGCGACCGCGAGAAAACCTCACAGTAAATGATGGTTAGTATGGGAAGTCAAAGGCTCATTTCAAGTTATTTCAGGTTTGTAAAATATGAGTACGTTGCCCTTCTCAGTTCAGGTTTATGAAACATGTTAGTATATAGTATATTATCATATATTATCATATATTATCCATTCATGCCAGGTTTACGAACCATATTGGTATATTATCCACATTGAATGACCATGTTTTATGGCTATGACATGCTCTGAGGATCAAACCTTCAACAGCGAGCGCCTGGCTACCTTGCAAGGGGACCCAAGGACCAAACCACAGATGGTTTGGTCTCTGGATGAAGCAGATTTGTTTTGGTTGGTTATTAGAACCTGAACCCAATGGTCCGGAACTAGAACTCTCAGATATCTCTGAATAAACCCAATGGTCTTAGAACTTGAACCTCTGGAACTCCCATGGTTTCTTTGGTGCAAAGGATATGGAACTCAGATTTCTGGTGGTTATTGGATGTTTTTGGGCGCAAGCCGTTTTTCGTTGAAGCCGCGTGGGCCGGCTCACCTTCCGCGGCACAGCGAGGTCTCCTACCCTCCAGGTGGCAGGCCGGGCATTCATATTGGAGTTCGGGGTACACAATCGCAGATTAGGACCTTGTGAGCCATGTTGATTTTCAGCAAACCGACCTGCCACTGCCCAGATTCACTTCACCAGGCCAGCAGTTGCCCCATCCTCTTCCGCCTCTCCCGTTTGGGGGCCAACAGCGGACACATGGGATTGAGAGATGTTGCTGTCAGAGACCACCAAGACCACATGGACCACGCCGTTGATATCCGTTGATCGTACGCCTCTCAGGTCCGATCGCAAGTTCAGTGCTGTTGGCAGCACTTGGACGGGAGTTGGCTCCGCATGAACGGAGAAGAGCCGGCTGTTGTTGCACAAGCAGACACAAGTCATGATGCTATAGTAACAATAACAATTTAAAAATGATCGTTTAACAATAGTAGTAATAGAAATAACACAATATAATCAATAGTCATGTGCCATGTTCGATTTTTTCACTGATGAAGTGATTCGTCAGTCCATCTCAGGCTTGTAGATGTGTTTGGATGAGTTTGGTTATTCGTTAGCGGAAATCACTTCACTCCATCGACCAGGTAATGTATGTTATCCTTCTCTTCGGTACTGTGCATCCTGCCTGTGGTTTCCATTCCTTTTTTCATCCCTCAAATAAAGCTCCAGATGTATCCCAGGGCCAGGGGCTGTTTCATATTTGACAAGAGATATCAAGGGTTGGTGGGCCCCGCTTTTGCAAAAAGGGTGGTGACGTGTCATGCAGCTTCTATTCCTTGTACTGCAACCACCCCAAGCTTGTACTCGTTTGGGTCTCTTGCACATCATATTTTCGATCGAAAATGTGGGCCCCCAGCATCCCTCACTATATAACTCAATTTTGGCCGGGTTAGTTCAGATTGTTTGCCGATCCGGACCATGGGCTGAGGCCTGTTTCAGCAATTTTGTAGTTGAGGAGGTCAAAGTCACTCCAGTCGGCAAATATCCTTTTCCCTCGCGTAGCATCGGGAATTTCGATGGTTTCCGTGGGGTGGAACATCCCTGCAACCAGATGTTAGCTGTCGCTGTACTATGCTGTACTGAGAAAATGGAGGGAGAGATGGCCCTTGATCCATGGAAACCATTGGAAGCCCCATTGGTTTTAACTCTTTAACGCCTCTTGAAGGCATGCTCGGCGGCATCGGCCAGTAGACTGCCATTCAGAAAGGATCAGAAAGGGTGCGGTAAGGGGTTTGAGTTGTCCAAAGATTTCATGTAGCATCATGTAACTGAGTCAACTTTGGTTAATTTTAGCTAGATACTGTAGTACTTTATTTTTTTTGCTATCAATGGTAAAAACCTCGGTTTTTTTGCAGGTATCTAAGATTTACCATAGTAAAAACTCTTAAACAAGTCTCGACAGATGAAACCACAGTTTCGCAGTTTCAACTGGAAGGCGCCACCTTCATCGCGCATCAGCTTTGGCTCAGCCCGCTCAGACTGCAGCCAACATGGAATGCAGTTTGGCCACGACATGGCCTGGTTTGTTGTCCCCTTCCAGTGGCATATGTATGCAGTGAATATATGTATATAGAGTGATATATATATATATATCACTATTACAAAACATATTATGAATACAATGACATGCGCGCGCACACACACATATATATATATAAATAGACGTACATGTTCGCCCTGGATCTCTGTCCTTGGGTTGCAGTCCGCGGGGAACTCAACAGGTAAATTAATTTGGACGGCAGCTGGAAGTTTTTCACTGGGCCTTGCAACTCGCTGGTAATCCCCCATGGTATTGCAAGGTCATGCTCTTGAATGATTCTTCCCATCATTCGAAGAGATTGGGGAAATGATGCCAACGTGGACCGAAAACAGCCTCAACATAAATGCCCGACAGCGAGGCAAGTGGGAACCATCCCACATGGGTTCTGTTGATTTCAAGTGGACCAGTGGAGCTGTGACATTTTGCCGGAACAGGTTTTATGCTCAAACCGTGCGACTAAATCAGCCTGCCAGCCATGAGTCAGAGCCAGGCGATGGCATATGAGTGAGTTTTGGTTATGTGGATGGTTCGTTTCTGCGGTCCCCTAGGCCAACAAATCAAATATTTGATTATGCCTGGTTCGGTATGATTCGATATAATTCGGGCAATTATGTATATGTATATATATATATATATATCAATTAAGATGATGAGGTATCCCAGTTACGAACCCGTTATGAAGCATTCCTTACCCCAACGCCGCTTCCACCACCGCGCAGCCGACAGGTCTCCAAGAAGCGAAAGTTCGTGGCCGATGGCGTCTTCAATGCTGAGCTGAACGAATTCCTCGCGCGCACCCTGGGTGACTTGGCCGATGAATCGAGCTTCGTGTCTTAAACATGCGGTATATAACAAATATCGTCTCTAGCGGTTTATTGTTATTTTTAAACATTTTTTAGTACGGAAAATGATGATGATGGCCTTCATCCCATGGTTTTCCAATTTGGGTTTGTCTGAAAACCGTATAATTAGCATGGTCGATCTTCATTTTCCCCATGAAACAAAATCCATCAGATGGGCGAAAATCATTTCTTTTTGAGGACAAACCAGCTATTGGCATCTATTGGCATTCTGTTGGCATTGGCTTGGGGCTTTGGGCAGATTCAAGCGACCAGCCAAGAGGTGAAGACGGCTATGCAGGTGTCGAGGTGGCTGCGGGCTTGCAGGAAAAAGACTCGGGACATGTCGGGACATTTTGGAATTTACTCAATGAAACTTGGTTTGGCTGGGTATTCATGTTACCCTCCTGAAAACGAACATAGACATGTGGAAAAGCCACCATTCATAGATGATTTTGGGAAAACCGATGCGGTTTTCCACATTGGTTACTGTAAACGTTGACGGGTAACCCGGTGAATTTCCAAGAGAAGTCGAGCCCGAGCGGCAAAGCCGACGATGAAATCCTTGGGCAAAGTGAAACACAGAAATAGATAAATAGACCGACAGATAATAAACGCATATTAATAAGTCACATAAGCAAACAATGTATACACAATATATTATGTATACATATATACGTACATGGAAATAATCAAACACATAAATATGATCCCCCTTGGAATTTCCTCTAGGAAATGGTGACCCTGGGCACCCCCATTTCTTAGAGAGCTGGATTTTATGGGTTGCCCATCTTTTACCAAATGCATTCTTTAGAGGCATATTGGTCGCTATTTGACCTGATCTGGTGGAAGTGCGGGGTTCCATTTTCTAGAGTTCCGGGTTTCAAAATGTGCTGCTCTGCTGGGTGTGATTTTGGGAAGGCTGGATGACACTGGATGATTGTGTACCTAAAGAATGGTCCCCCATAGGAAGGGGATAAAAGAGCCCATACAAATCACAACAAATCACTATATACTATAGAATGGAACCCATAGGCATTGGTTGGCGTTGTTGAACGGACCATAACGGACCCACAAACTCTAAAGAATGGAACTTTGAACGTTTTCAAGGTCGATCAAGAATATCCAGACAACTACTAAAGAATGGTATCCCCAGGCACTGCAAACCAAACAAAATGTTCACATAATTTTACAACAACTCGGTCCACCATTTCCTAGGGGAAAAATAAGGGGAAAAAATGAAATTAAGCACTTTTCAAGCCAATCACCTGGTCCTCCATTTTATAGACATGCCTCTGTTTGTAGGACCCTCGGGCCCTCGGGGTTCCATTCTATAGAAATTTGTTGTGATATGTCGGTCTGGCCCATCCATTCTTTAGAGATTGGGGCTCCATTCTTTAGATGTTCCACTTCTAGCCCCCCCCCCCGGTCCACTAAAGAATGAGGACACCCATCCTTTTTACTTAACCCAAAGGGGGATTAAATATGTAAATGTATAAGCATTAGATTCACACTTTCACACGTGATTTAATTCAAAAACACATACAGGTGGAGAGAGATATAATCTTTTTAAACATGAATCTAAATCTAAACCTAACCGGAAATCTAATCTATATCTCTATCTGCATTTATACTCACATAATATGCATATAATAATATGACATGTCTATCTATAATCTCACATATGTTTTTTTCAACTGGCATCGCACGGGCAGGTGCGCGTCACACCGATCCGCACAGAGATCATCATCCGTGCAACCAGGCGACGGCACCAAGCTTTGACTTTTCCATGCTCATGACGATGACGATAAGACTGGTGATGATGGCGGAAGATCAAGGGTTCATTGTTCATGATCATGGGTCATCATTGTTTGCAGAGGGCGCATGTCATCACCATCAAAATCAAGAAACAGTATGTCTTACTTTGCGGCGAGAGCGTCAATGAGTCGGCGAGTTGCGGGGTAAGAACCCGGTAACGTCGGCGATATTTTGGTCCTTGCGTGATACTGCAAGCTCTTCACCTCCCGCAACTCAACTCCCCATTTTCATACTTTGCATTGGCGCTCTTCAAGCGCCGAAGTAAAGTAAGACCCCAAATTTTCAAAGATATTCCCAAGATATTGAATAGGTAATTTCAAGTATTCCCATATCTTCCCTAAATTTCTCTTAACTCTAACCCCATTAAAACCTATTAAAACCTATTAAAACCTATTAAAACCTATTAAAACCTATTAAAATCCCACCATGTGCTCATTAACTCAACAAATCCCGCTGTCGACGATGCCCACAGGACTCGTGAGGTTCTGGGAGAGAAAGGCCGACGCATTCGAGAGCTCACAGCCCTGGCGACCTGACTTTTCAATCGATGGATTTTTTTATCCCCTCTGGTGATGCAGATTTTTTTCCCGGGAGTCCACTACCAAAACTAATAATTTTGAAATCACCGATTTGCACATGCTGCATCCATGCGTCCGTTCGAACCCAGGAAAAAAATGACCCATGATTGTTTGAGGGGGTATGGTTCTTTACATGACTTTACAAGGTTGGGAACAAGGATTTTATTCTTTGGAAACGGAGATATAATGATTATAATGCTGAATTTGCATAGGTCAGACATCAGGAGCAAATTCAAACAAATTGTGTCAATGCGCTCCCAAATTGCAAAACATGTTTTTTTTTGCTTTAAATACATTTGTCCCTGCAAAAGGGTACAAATAGATATGTTCAGCTTCACCAACATTGAAACAGTGACTTGAAGAGGTCGAGGCGCAGGTGTCAAAAATAAAATCCAAGGGGCTGGACCTTTTTTTGGCTGAATTCTTGCGGGTGATCTTCAAAGGTTGGCCCCACACGCAAAAAGTCGCATCACCAGGCCAATCATCCATAGATAGGACATGATGGGACAAATTCAAGAATTTTGTGTCAACGCGTGCCCAAATGGCAAAACACGCGTTTTTTTGCTGAAGATATATTTGTCCCTGCAAGAGGGTACAAACACATATGTTCAGCTTCACCAACAAAAAAAGTGAGCTGGAAACGTCCGGATCCGCGATTTAAGGTGTTCCAGGCGTGGGTTATTTGCTAAAATTGTGATCCTTGCCAGAAAATTAGTCTAGCAACTGCATATGTTACCCAGGAATTTAATTGATAACAGACTGGAAACCTTAGGCATCAGGAAGTTAGTGCCTGCAAGCTTCATTCATTCGTCTGAGAATGTAAATTCCAGCTAGAGAGGTCAGGCACCCGGATTTTAATCTTAGAAAGGCCAGGGCCCAAAAAATAACCCAATTATTTTCCCAGGACAGGATTCTCCGGGGTGCACCAGATGGGGATCTTTATTTTAGCAATCAAACGTGAGGAAATATATGGGGGCTTCCATGAATGGGCATATCCAAAAATGGATGGTTTGTAATGGAAAATCCCATTAAAATAGATGATTTGGGTGTACCCCTATTTCAGGAAACCATCATACACACACATATATATATATCTCTCTCTCTCTCTTTCTCTCTTTATATCTCTTTATAAATAAATAAATATATATATAGATAATATCTCTATAATTGCTAAATGAAATCTAAATGATGGTCAAATGGGATGCCTTCGGCCACTTTCTTTTCCACTCCAATTTGTATCACTTTGTCCCGGACACGGCGCATGGTGCAAGAGTATAACCCCCCGGTTTCCGATTGTTAGAAACATGACCAGCCGTTTGTGGGTCCACAAAGGTGCCCCCCGCGCAACATCATGAAGATATCGGTTTATCTTATCTTAATCCTATATGACATGAATGATAATGCCATCCTAAATGTCATAATCTGATATCATTCCATGGTATTGTACTGCAATATGTCATAATATGTCCCATCGGGCAGTTGGACCGTGGTCAATAGAGTTATATACATCATACATCACCGTTTATGCCTGGTGAGCCCGCATGTTTCAAGATGAGATGTTGACCACAATTGGTCTTGGTCGGTGAGATAGGTGCCTGATTTTTCAAGTTTCCTGTCCATGCATCCTTGCTTGTGGGTGACATCCTTGCTAATGGATGACATATTATTATCATTATTATTATAGTGTATTTTAAACTGTTACTTAATATCCCTATCGTATCCCAAATTACATCTCCAATATATCCCCATAGTTAATATATATATATATATTTACACATCATAGATATCTAGGTTTGTTAGATATCCCCATGGTTTCATTCTATCCCTGTAATATCCCCATAGTTCTTAGTATATTTCCAGCACACACACACATATATATATAGTGTCTATATATAATAACCTTGTATATTAATGGGGTTTATTTCACTTTTCTATCTTTATTGGGGATTGCTACATGTATATATATATATATACACATATGTATATATATATTATACATCTCTCTCTCTCTCTCTCAATATATCTCATATAGACATCCACATGTGCAGCTACAGCGCCCCCAGGTGCAGAAGCGTTTCGGATTCCCTGAGAACAGTGTGGAGCTCTTTGCCGAACGCGTGGAGATCCTTGGGTTTCGAATTCGCGGGCTTCTGTCCGAGGTCCCAAGGCTCGACATCATCCATTTTTGGGGGCTGGCTTATCATTGGCTTTACTATATCATGTTTCATTTTTTAAAGTAATTCTTTATTAAAACCCTTTCTTAGGCATGACCGATTTTCAGCCATAGTCAAATTCGTGAAATGAGCATCAGTACTTTTCGCATCTTTTAACATTTGAATGGCCAAGGAACCGCGCCAGCTGTGCCATGGCCCAGCCGCTTGGTTTCTGATGGCTCCATGGCCATGGCCCAACTGGTCTCCTCTCGGTCTTGGTTTTTGGGATGCATGTTTTTTGGACCTGGGCACTTTTTTTTTGGACCTGTACATGTTTTTTGGACCTAAGCGGTTTTTTTTTTTTGACCTAGGGTCATAAAAATGTGGGGGACTTGCCTGTGTGTTTTCTGAACCCTGTGGGGATAATTTTGTTTGGACCTGCATGTATTTGTGCTGGGCCCAGGATTTTTTTTTCCGACGGCCAAGTTAATTGTTTCTGAGCTCGGTTTCTATTTTTTGGACCCGTGCACCTGCTTCGTGGACCTTGCCTCCATAGGGTGGAGGGGGAAACTCCATTGGTATAGGCACTCACATTGGGCTGGATGTTTTTGGGCCTTGGCGCCTTCTTTTTTGAACTCGTACACGTTTTTTTGGACCTGGCGCAGGGTGGGGGGAATTTAGATATTGAGACAAGATGCATGCAAGAAGGTGTTGAGAGAAACGGGGGAACATGTAGATATTGAAGCCAGGTGACCGCAGAAAATTGGTGAGAGCGAGGCAGGTGGGAGAGGGGGAAGTTAGACATCGAAACAAGGATGAACGCAAGAAGTTGCTGAGACGAGAAGCAAAAGTCTAGATATTGAGCCCAAATGACGGTGCATGCAAGAAGCTGTGGAGAGACGAAGGGGGGGAAGCTGAGATATTGAAACGGCATGAATGCGGGAAGCTGTTGAGGGGCACAGGTGGGGGGGACTTTAGGAGGCCACGGTGGAAACAGATATAAAACCAAATGAATGCAGGAAGTTGCCCAGGGGCACCGGGAATATTGAAGCAAGATGAATGCAGTGCAGCAAGTTGTTGAGGGGCACCGGGGAGGAAGCTTAGATGTTAAAACAAAATGAACGCAAAAAGTTATGGGGAGGCTACGGGGGAAGTATAGATATTGAAACCCAATGAATGCAGGAAGTTTGGGAAGTTTGATGAGAGGCACAGGGGGGAAGTTATATATTGAAACCAGATGAGCGCAAGAAGTTGTTGAGAGACAAGGGGGGAAGCTTAGACGTTGAAACCAAGTTGAGATGCATGCAAAAAGTTGTTAAGAGGCCAGAGGTATTTGAGACCAAGCGAATGAATGCAGGAAATTGGTGAGAGGCACAAGGGGGGGAAGTTTAGATATTGAAACCAGGTAAATGCGCCCAAGTGTGGCACAGAGGTGTGAAGAGTAGAAATTGAGAAAGCAACGAACTCACCAATGACCCAGTATGAGTGTCCAAGTCGGTCGAAGTTGTGAGGACAACACTACATGGCACTTCTTGCCCAGTTGCATGCTAGCGCAGCTCTAGCGCCCTACTGTCTGAAGAATTTCGATGCAGACGCGGCTGGACAGAAACTGGATATCCAAAGAGGGTATGGTTTGGGAAAGGGCCAGGTCCAGCAGGAAGGAAGGATGAGGTCCAGCAGGAGGGTGTGCAGGTCCAAAACAAGGGTAGCCATCTCCAAAAGAATTGTAGTAAGGTCCAGTAAAAGTGTCCAGGTCCAAAAGAAATGTATCGGGGTCCAAAAAAAGTGTTTTCCTTGGTTTTTGAGGTGCGAATCCCTGCGCTTCAAACTCATCGGCGGCCTGGCGGTGCGCCGCGCCTGCTACGGTGTCCTCAGGTGCCAACGCCAAGGGCACCATGAAATTCGTGATGAAACATGCCGGATTTCACAAGGGAAAATGGTGATTTCACTTGAGGAAACTTGGGATTCGCCATATTTCACCATGAAAAATGATGAAGAAACTAGAGAGTGATATTTTCGGTAAACGTTAGGATTTCAACAATACAAATGAAGCCTCAAGGACTTTCATAGCTCCAGTCGTGATCCTCTAGGAGATATGGTTGGCACAAGGCAAATTTCTCCTACCCACGCGGGCTTGATCATCATTGATGTTTTCCATGCTGAACATGCTCCGGATGCAATGATGACAAATTCCCAAAAAAAGGCCCTGAAGATGATATTTTTTGGGCACCTCAAGTCTTCCAGGTGTTCAAACTCAGGGTCATCATCATGTTCAACTGGGGAATTTGAATATCCTATTCTCATATCTTCAAGTACTTTCCATCCCTTTACCGGGAATATCTTAGCATATCTTAGCCATATGTGGATATTTATTTCAACATATTTCAAGATATTTCAACTATCATCATCTTCCATCATCTTCCACCCCTTAGTTGAACTTTCCTGGGGATCTAGCATTCCCCTGGGCCAGGTTCATCATGGAGAACGGTGCCAAGGGCGTCGAGGTGATCATCAGCGGAAAGTTACGCGCCCAGCGAGCCAAGGCCATGAAGTTCAGGCGAAGCTGTGGAACGCACACGGCACTGCTGACTCAGCACAATGGATGGTTAAACGGTTATGTAGTGGCTATCATTCATGGAAAAGCATCCGTAGTATTCACTGGATGCAAATTTATGGGTTATACTCCCAGTTACATGTTATATATATTGGATTCTGAAAGCTGTTCAGTTGCCTGGATTTGCTGAGTCGATGTCGATTGTTTTTTCGATGTTCCCAATGTCGGAAATCCACTACTTAGGGAGTTTTTTTTTGGGGGGGGAAGGGAGAGGATCTCCTTCAGCAAATCCAAGATTGTTTCTGATCCCAACTGACCAGCAGTTTGGGGTGGGTTGAAGCAACCAGTCATTATCGTCATCGGAAACTGAATCCCAAATAGATGAGAACTTATTTCAGGTCTGTCGATGCGATTCTGATTTCAGCAACTCCCAGCTTGCCCATTCACCGCCTTTCGTTGCCCCCTTTGGGAGACATTGTTTTGTATGTTTCGGGGAAAAGTTGGAAACCCAGTTCTATGACCCAGCTAGCAGCCGTTCAAGGCCATGTACAAGTCATTTGCAAAGGCTAACCAGGCTTGTAATTATACTCACCATTTTTGCTTACAATCGGCATCCATCATCATCCATTATCATCCATCCTCATCCATCCTCATCCATTATCATCCATCATCATCCACCATCATCCATTATCATCCATCATCATCCGCCATCATCCATCATCATCATCCATCCTCATCCATCCTCATCCATCTTCATCCATCCTCATCCATCCTCATCCATCCTCATCCATCCTCATCCATCCTCATCCATCCTCATCCATCCTCATCCATCCTCATCCATCCTCATCCATCCTCGTCCATCCGCATCCATCCTCACCCATCCTCATCCATCCTCATCCATCATCATGTATCATCATCCATCATCATGCATCCTCATCCATCCTCATCCACCCTCGTCCATCCGCATCCATCCTCATCCATCATCAGGCATTATCATCCATCATCATGCATCCTCATCCATCCTCATCCATCCTCGTCCATCCGCATCCATCCTCATCCATCATCAGGCATCATCACCCATCATCATGCATCATCATCCATCATCATGCATCATTATGCATCATCATCCATCATCATCCATCACCATCATCATCATCATCACCATCATCGCCATCGTGATCTTGATCTTGGTCATGAACCTTATCCATCATCATGCATCATGCATCATGCATCATGCATCATCATCACCATCATCATCGCCATCATCATCATCATCATCACCATCACCATCATCATCATCACCATCATCATCATAATCATCATCATCATCCTCATCCATCATCATCCACCATCATCCATCACCATCCATCATCTTTCATCATTATCCACCATCACCCATCACCATCATCATCCATCATCATCATCATCATCCAACATCACCCAACATTATCCATCCTCATCCATCATCATGCATCCTCATCCATCATCATGCATCATCATGCATCATCATGCATCATCATGCATCATGAATAATGCATCAGGCATCATGCATCATCATCATCATCATCCTCATCATCATTATCATCACATCATCATCCTCCATCATCATCCATCACCTTTATCATCCTCATCCATCATCCATCATTCATCGATTTCCCACATTTTTTGAAGCACCTAAGAAAAGGGCACCACCAAATTTATTTCATTTTATTTCAATGGTTCAATGGTTCACCTTCATATTCCCGTTAAAAACCTATTTAAGTGAGACAAATCCCACATTCCCACCCCCAAGAAATGTGATTGAATTGGGTTACATTCCAACTGTTTCAGGATAAATCCGCCAAAAAACATTGAGATAACTCAGCACATTTTTGGGGATGACCCCGCACATTTTGGAGGATAACTGGTCATTTTTGGGACTCCTCAATTTTCCTGGCATCATTTTTCCCACAAGGCAGGGATACCTCATCTCCACGGGCGAGCCCAAGCGTCACTACATCTCCGAAGCCGTCCGTCACGTGCAGATGCGCCAGGGGACCATCGGGATTAAGGTTGGGCGATGGATGGCGATGGATTTTTTGGGATCACCAAAGATGGTTGATTTAATGGGAAACCCCCAATCAATAGAGGTTTCTAGCATTTTATAACTAGGAAAATCAGCTATAAGGTTTGAATGGGATTTTGATGGATTAACACTTCGGTGATCCAACATAGCTAGCAGGGAAATCCCTGAACTAAATGGAGGTTTGAATGGGAACATCAGGTTTTCATGGGATTTTAACCAACAAACATGGTGATTTAATGGGACTTAATTGACCTAGTGGGATTAACAAACTATGACTAACAGCATGCCCTTCGGTGTCATGAAACATAGCTCAACTAAATGGAGGTTTATAGGTTGGGAAAATCATCGAACTAAATGGGATAACATGACACATGGAGGTACCTGTTAATTAGTATGTATACGGCTACAATGGAGATATATTATATGGAGATACAATCGGGATATGATGGGACATTTTGGGGCAATCCAGTTGACTTTCCCAACATGTAGACTTTATCCATGTTAAGATAAAACCCTTGACCGCAGGTGCCATGTTAAGAGAGGTTTTTTCGTGTTTCGAGGTGTATGTTATTTTGCAAGGGTGTAATGGGATTATTGGGGACTTGCCCTACGGTGATCAGACATGCTAGCTGGGAAATCCCCTATAAAATCTATAAATGGAGGTTCAAAGCTGGGAAAATCATCGAACTAAATGAACATGATGTTACATGGACAATTTCCAGCAAACCATGTTTGATTGCTGGAGGGTATATAAGTAGGAAAAATTATGATATGAGTGGGATTTAATTGGACCAACAACAGATGGTGTGGGTTTGGAACTGCATGATTTATGTACAGGTTATAGATTTTAAACTACAACGCATGCAATTTGAATAGAGCAAATGATGGCGAAACAATTGATTTAGAGGGCACGTTTGTTTTTTTGGACAACCCCAATTGTTTGCCGGGTGAAAAAAAATAGAAACACGGTGGCACAGGATGATAAATCCTCAACCATATGATGAAAAGTATGTGGCACTTAGCTGGTTTGATGGATGGGTGAAGGATGTTTTTCCTCATTTTGATGGAGGAGATCCATAGGATGAAGGCTGTCAAGGGGCTGCCAGTTCGCGCTGTTGGCAGCCAGCAGGTGAAGATCATGATGAGCCACGATCCTGAGGGCAACTGGGTGCGAAAGTTCGGTGAAGATCCGCCTGGTGGCCACTGGAAACCGCCGTTTTGGTAATCCGAACTCCGAACTGCTAAAAGATCTATTATAGTCAACGCCAGAATCATTGCATTTTTTGGTATTGACCCTTCACCAAGCCAACTCCACTGCTAGTTGGTGAGGATAATCCAACCTCAAAACGGGACATGCGAGGCAAGATGGGTCCGAAGATGCAGCTCCCTGACAACGTGGTGGTTCACGAGCCCAAGGCGTTGTGCGGTGTCTCAGGTGTGTATACTGCATATTGATGCATATTACACATGCACAAAATGATATAAAACACCATGCACACTACGCACACATAACATACAACACACACACACACACACACGCGTATTTATAAAAACTGATATATATATATATATATGTATATTTACACACGCATATATATATATATATATTTATATACACATACACTTTATATATCATTGTTTGTATGATCATGCGGATGTATATGCATATTCTGTGTCCATACGTGTGCGCAGAAGTGATAGGTAAATAGACAGATCCATGCATGGATGGACAGATAGAGATCTGAATTCTCACGACTTAGCGCCTGGGATTTCCTACGCCGGATTTGCCATTTTACTAAGGTTTTTTGGGGGGATGCAAAGAATTTAGAGAAGAGGAGAACTCCAACTTTGTTGGGTTGTCGCATTTCCTCAACGGCGTAGGCAGGGGCAAAGAATGGCGATAGGCCTCTTGTCGTGTATAGGCCCCAAGCACCCACAGCACGCAAACACCCCAAAAAAAAACATAGTTCAATTGGGCCGCCGGCCACTGCTTGGATCTTTTTTCAACAGCCTTGCCAGGAAGAGGCCCCACCGATGATGCCGCCCCAGGAATCCGCCATGGTGACGTCATGGTCGCAAGACTCTTCCAACATTTCTAAGCTACAGACTGGTGCCTTGAAAACCGTTATAAACCGTTGGTAGGTTGTTTGTAGCCATGATGTTGTGGGGGCTTGAAAGGCCACGGGGAAGATGTATAAAGATGTGAAAGCAGGTTTCGTGCCCGCATGGGTGCGAATTTAAAGCCTTCTGAAATGCAGATTGCAGGAGCAAGAGGAGCAAAGCGGCTATGATGGCGGCTACGGTGGTGGTGGCGGCGGCTACGGCGGCGGCGGTGGCGGCGGCGGTTACGGTGGCGGCTACGGCGGTGGCTATGGCGGGGGTGGCTATGGTGGTGGAGGTGGATACGAGCAACAGCAGGGGTATTGAGTCCAGACTCAAATGCCGCACGCAGCACGGTGACAAAAAAGGAGACGCCGGCACGAAGAAATTGCAGATACATTGACATATATCTATGGCATCTATGGCCAAAAAAAAGGTGAGCCACATACTCTTGAGCCCAATTTGAGTATGTAGATGAATCGAAGACGACCTCTGTGTTATTGCTGATGGCATCACCTGCTTCAAGTACACCGAAACTGGTCCATGACCATTAGAAAATTGTGAAGGGATGGGCAAATCGATGGGTTTTTCCGATGAACGGGGCAGTGCTATTTTTTGCCATGATTTTTCCATTCTCTTTGTCTGACTTGATCTGTGAAGTCGCAACGAAATATATCCAAAACATATGAGAATTTCGCATAATTTCGCATAGTTTGGCGGTACTTCACAGCACCAGCCCATCAAGGAAGGGTCGCGGCAGTGGTGTCGTTTTAGTTGGTGCTGTTGTAGCCACTCAGTCTCCATCTCTCCAGGGGTATAATTCCATCCCCTGAGGCTCTAAGTGTGGAAAGGTTGGGCTCCGGTCGATTGCTTGCGAACGGCTGGAATAGCAATGGCCATTGATATGACTTACAGTGTAAATGTAAATGGTGCTATAGAATGGTCGAGCTTGACCGCTCTGGTTTGGTGTACTTTCATATTCGAACCAAGTCCACGGTTGTAAGATGTTTGAATCCCGTTTCAGCAAGGTCAACTCTGGATAAAGAACCACCCAGTGGGTGGCTGACTTTTTGGTTCGCCAGTTGTCCTGCCAGGCCAGGGCCAGCCTGAGCAGAGCATTAGTCAAGGGCTGGCGACATGAAACATCATTTTCGCCAACACATCTCTCGTTTAAATTGGGATATCCCCATTGTATATCACTGTATGTTTTTCCTTTTGGGGACACAAAATTACACAATTGTGGATTGCATCCCACTGGCCATGAAGCAACAGCTCGGGCCTGCTGAGTTTGAACGCTTTTTCAGCCATTCCAGCAGCTGTGAAAAGGGGGCATGTTCTTTTCAACTGGGTCCTGGCGGCAGTAGGCTGAAGAAAATTCTTAAAAGATGAACATTAACATGATCAATCATGATTCATGATATCATGATTAAATATGATTATAAATATGATTAATACATTGTAATTATCCCTGAATGAATAAGCTTCTAGGCAAGGCGCTCAATAATAGGTCGGTGTTCTTGTTGGAGTCCAAGCATTCTGGCAGAAGGCCAATAGATGCTCATGCCTCAAGACTCCCCATTATGATCGTGATTGTTGGTGGTCATTAACCCCCATGATATGCCCACAAACTGTCACAAACCCAATGACAAAATTTGGTATGGAAAGCAGGTACCGACCACCTCTGACCTTGATGAAGGGCAAGGGGGCTCGAGGGAGAAGACTTTGATGTCGCCACGAAATGGATGACTTTCACTAAAAGGTTGCATCCCGAATCCCTATATTGGAAATCAGCTGGCCACATCCTTAGTTCCTTTAAGTGTAACTATCTTGTTGCGGCTGGTTTTGTGGCTTTGTGAATTGGGGCTCGGTTTGAAAGAATGTTTAGGAATCAAAGATGCGCAATGGAACATCCACCATATGCATCTCTATTTGTATATAACATGATGATCTATTTAAAGAAGTTGGGGTTGGCATTGCCAAGATGATTTGCTGAAGTGTGCATAGTATGTTTGTTCAGTTTATGGAGGTCATCATTGCTTAGTTTGTTGTTTGAATTTCCCACGAACTGTTGATTGGTGGTGGTGATTGGCTGATGTTTCAGTTGTAACCAGGTACATCTCCCATATCTTGGTTGGAAGATCCAGTTTCATCATATTTTTGCATGGCTAAATAGAATACATAAACGGATGGTGCACACACACACACTTGCTTGGAACTGTCTTATCGAATTGTGAAATTGGAATGCATCGAACGTGCAAAAAACCAATAATAATATGACACGATGATAATGTAAATAGTTGATTTAAAACCAAACCAATAAATAAACACATAGATAAAATAAGTAAGTACATAAATACTGTAAATAGATGAATAATTAAATAGATAAATGACAGAGATAATACATATAAAATTTGAAAAAATAAATAAACAAGTAAATAAATAAACGCATATATAAATAAATGCGTGAATAAATAAATAAACAACTAACTATGTACAGTATATATATATAAAGAAAACAGGAGACATTCACAGTATAAACCAACAGGGATAAAGTATACGTCTCCTCCAGGTGCGTCTTATATGCGCCGAGCGGCGGGACTATATATATATATATGATATAGATAGTATAAAGCAGGTACATTTTCACAGGTACCCAGGGGGTGTCTTCGTTGGCCAACGACCCTCTGGGACACCGATGGCCTGCAAAAAGTAGAAGTTTTACCTCTATTCAGATGGACCACACACACACAGGTATATATATATATACAGATGGCACCAACATAATACACACATATATATATATATATAAATATGTTTGTACACATGACATACACACACACACACACTCATCTACCGAGGTTGCTGGCTTTGGGTCTGTTGAGTCACAGCACCGCGCAGGTGCACCAAATGGATTTTGGGACTTCTTGGTTGCTGAACAAGGACAAATAAATTACAGACCAGCCAATAGCTTAGATGATTTCAACATGGCAAGGATATCATTGAGCAAAGCGCTGGTTGTTTTTTAATTGTGGCAGGATGGAAGATGTTTGAGTTTCCTACCATGATGGACGGGCTACAGCGATCAGGATTTGAAAGCTCGGGCAGTGCAGATGTGCAGATTTGTATATACACATGTGTCATTTGTCATTATCGGCCGGTAGCCGATGTTTTTTTGGGTATTGATGCCTAGATGGTCGCAGCTATGCGCATATGGATTCTGATATTCCCAGAAACCCGCTTTTTATACAAATTTTCTACTGCCACCAGGTGGCGTGGGGTCAAGATAGTATCTCAAAGTCATACACACACATACATACATAAGTAAATGTACTGAATGCTGGTCTTTTTACAATAATTACAAACATTTGTGCGTACATACCGCACGCATGCAAACTTGTATAAATGTATTGTATATTATTATATACTTATCATACAGACACGCATTATGTAGACGTATGTAGACGTATGTAGACGTATGTAGACGTATGTAGACGTATGTAGACGTATGTAGACGTATGTAGACGTATGTAGACGTATGTAGACGTATGTAGACGTATGTAGACGTATGTATGTAATGCAATGCAATGCAATGCAATGCAATGCAATGCAATGCAATGCAATGCAATGCAATGCAATGTAATGTAATGTAATGTAATGTAATGTAATGTATGTATGTATGTGTGTATGTGTGTATGTATGTATGTATGTATGTAATGTAATGTAATGTAATGCAATGTAATGTAATGTAATGTAATGTAATATAATGTAATGTAATGTAATGTAATGTATGTATGTATACATTTCCATGTGTACCTTTATGCATATCGTTGTTCATTTATAACATGTAAAAATACGCATGACTGTTTGTACATTTATTCGTAATATACACTTAGATATGTACGGCAAATGCTATTCCCATCTCGGCTGTGAAGATCCTTTCAGTGCCGCAGAAAAGGTGCAGACCGAACAGAATGGTCGATCTCGAGGTTCGCGAGCTGCTGGTAGGGGCCCTGATGAATAGGATGGTGGGGTGCCACTGGTCATTTCTGTCTAGCTTACCTAACCCAGTTGTTTTTTTGGGGATACCACTTGGGTTTGCAACCCAAACACGTACAAGAATTATACGATCATTCCGCAAGTTGAAGATAGTTGAAATCATGTTTAAGTCCAATTGATGATTTTAGCAATACGTATCAAATACATCCAAAAAGTCTCAAAAGGCATTCGACAAGAGATGGACTTTTTTTGGTGCCTTTTTCTCATGGCCCAATGGCTCGAGGTGGTTACCACCCAGCCCAAGAGAATGAGGAAGTTGATGAGACGGCTGGTGAACCCATCGGTCTGGGGGATGGACATGGCCTCATTTCCCCTTCAGCTGCCCTGTAGGTCTTGTTGATGATCCTGTCTTGTGTTGGGATCTTGATTCAGAATGGAATGGAGTGAGCCAACGGCTTTAAAGGGCCCATTGCAATGAGAGATCATTAGTTGTAGGGCCAGGGCTTGTGGAGCAGTATGAAGGTGACACGACTTACAGAAACTGCAACCGTTGGTAGGCTAGTTGACAGGTACAATGTGGATGTTTATTATCTTGTGAGGCACGAAGGCCTCGACCCAAGCTTTCAGCAAGTAGTAAAAGACTTCGCGCAATGAGAATCAGATAGAAGCAGTATATTAACCTATGCTTCAATTATATATGTGGGTCAAAAACTTGGTGAAACATCCATTGTGCATGGCTGAGGTTGAGGTACGGCGCGTGTCTCCTGAAGAGGAAGAGAGGTGCCGAATGATCCGAATGGGCTATTTCAATCTCTTTCACAGGGGTTGAAAGGCACTTGCACGGACATATGCCTTTCAAGTTCCCCTTGAACCAATGCTCGGAGTGGGCAGTGTGTTTGACGGAGTGTTGTCGATAGTGTGGAAACCTCCTGCAATTCGCTACAGGGAAAATTGCCGGCGTTACAGGGAAAAGTACCTGCACAAGCTACACAAGTTCGAAACG